GTTAGTAGGTTAGTGATAATAATCGTGAGGAGCTTGTAATATGGAAGAGAAAGCAGATCAGGCGGTGCCATTTTAAGACATCATATATATGCATATATATAATATATACACATATGCTAAGTCTAGGCATATATATGCTAAGTTTCAAAAAAAAATATACATACAGGCTTGTTCTAAAAAATGATATAGGGAGTGAAAAATATGTATATATGAGTTTCTGTGGCTCATAGTGAATCATATCACCGACGTAGCGAAAAAGGCAGAAAGGACCGGTCTTTTTGTCTCGGCAAAAAGCGCCAAATAACAAAAAAGAATCTAAAATTCGACCTAAAAAGTACTGCGCTTAGACCGATAGCATGAACGAATAAACGACAAAAAAACGATAGATTTGGCGCTAAAACTCTACAACATGTTATTATTAAAGCAAGTCAAGCGTAAGGATGAAAAAGACATCAAATGAACGAAAATATTTAAATTGGGACAAAAGTTTTCCTCACTTGTACAGTCTTTGCTGAAGCCAGAAAGTAAGACTCCTATCTCACATACGACATCCAAAGTAACAAAAAATTATAACTAATATAAAAATCAAGAAATGTACTTCAGTAAAACAATAAAAAACTCTATAAATACCCTTTTGTTGCCCGTTTTGGCCGAAGCCCTATCGTTTCTTTCACCGACCCTGCCCGTATCAACACCCTGTTTTTTTCATGAAACACCCAGTTGATCAGTGGAGTTCAGACATCAAAACTCTGTTCGCCTGGAAGCCACAGTGTCCTCAAAATCGGTACAGTATTTACATCGTGCTGTTGTGGATCCATAAGGAAGGCAAGTGTGCCCAATACATTCGCAACATCCTGTATGAAACCAACGCAACATCGAGGCGCCCAAGATCTGCAATATGACGAAACAGTAATATAATAAAAAAGAAAATTACGCTTCATTAGTTCTGCCAATTAAAAAACCGGTTGGGAGATTCAGATTTTCCTGGACCTGATTTTCACCATCTAATATGATGTACAACGAGCAAAAGATGGCGCGCAGAAGAAGCAAAGAGCAATCCAGAATCGCGCAGCAGATTGACTCTGTAAATTTGTTGTAAAATTCAGTGTTCAGTATTCGATGCCCAGTGTCCAATTGCAGCAGTGTGTTGCCGCACTCCAGTGATCAGCAATCTCCATCGGCAGCGGTTGCTGCTGCAATCGTCCGACTTAATCCCGTCGCCCCAAGTACTCAACTGTGAACTTTTATTGGTGTTGATAAAGTTCGTTTTGTTTACTCCAGTCTCTCCACTAAGCGCATACAGCATATCGGCTTTCACACAAGTCTTGTCGTACCCCCGTCCGAATAATCTGCGGAACATTCGTCGTAACGTCGTCTTCTCATCGTAACAATGAACAACAAAAAACCCGACACGACCATGGCCATCAAATCATGCTGACATTTCCATCACTTTCTCCCGGAAACGTTAAAAGGAACAAAAGTTATCGTTTAACATGTAGCTCCGTGGAAAAAAAAGTACGCCTTGAAGCAGCAATAGTCTATTAGCAAACAAAATAATTTGGATTAGTGGAAAGTACTGAAAGTTAAGGACTAGAAAAAACCTCAGGAATTATAAAACTTAGAATATGTTAGTGAACTTACAAGACATTGCCGACTGCACTGCTTTTGCGACATACATTTGTCCAGATAGACCACCGTGCAATTTGTTCCGTGATGTGATTTACTCAGCATTTTCATATTTTCACCTGAAAAAAGCTCATAATTGTAGGAGTGCTCAAGTGGTACCAATCTAACAACAAAATACCAACTCATTATAAATACATTCTTCGAGTAATACTGCAGAACAGGGTACAAATAAACCGTCACGTTTGAAATGCCCCTCCCCCCCTCCCTCCTCCTCCCCCTCCCCTTTCCCCTGCCGGAATGAAATATTGTTTTTTTCCAATAGAAGGTAGACCAGGCACGGTAAAATAACCTAGTAATCGTTCTCTGCCTAACTAATGATGAATGTGTGTTAAAATTGATCAGCAAAGTCGCGGCAGATGACATCCTGCCCATGCTAGGCCCATCGATAATCTCCGGCTGATGTAAGTCTGATTTTATTAAGTAGCGGCTCTTTCCTCAGACCTTCGAAACCACAAAAAGCTGCGCCAAAGTGTCACCGAAAAAGCCCAAATTTACTAAAAATACAGTTCTTGCAGTATTTTTCGTATAGTTTAAAATAAAATACAACCTCTGAGGTTATACGGGTATTCCTGTAAAGCTGGAAACGTGTATGTCGTACCGACTTTGTTCACTCTGAAATAACATTAGCATTTTTCATTTCATATTACAGCTAGCATACATACATACATACATACATGCATACATACATACATACATATACATACATACATACATACATACATACATACATACATACATACATACATACATACATACATACATATTTTACTAATGTTATT